GGGGGGGGGAAAGAAAAATCTTTTCTACCGGAAAGGAGATCCTTCTATCTTTTTTTCAACTGTCATGGAGGAACGTAAGGTTTCGCGCGAATCACTCAACACCACGCCGACACCACCACGTTGAACATCCGTTGAACGGTTGGTTGTTGTTGGTGGTGCCTTGTCCTATCATTCTTTTCCGCGAGCTGGTCACTCTTCGGGAGCATAGGAGAGACCGCTCCAGGGCTGACTTTACAAGAGCAATCCCCTCGGGAGCATGTAGCGGAAGTCCTCGATGTCGAAGAACGAAGGGAACCTCGGTGGCCGGCGCGCTAGATCCATAGAGATCTCGATCCTCTCAAGAGCCTCTCTCCGTGATGTCGCTTGGCTGATCCTCTGGGATTGGGAGTGACGTCACACACGGCCGTCAAGCAAGAAAGAGAAGAAAGAGAGGAAAGAGAGGAGTTAACACGACTTCCTAGGGGGGGCACCCACCACCCACACCACGCACACCCACTGGTCCACCACGGTGGCGTAGCTGTCCGAGCAGGCCCCCAACGTCGAACGGCTCGTCGAGAGCGACTCAAGGAGAGACGGCGATGTCGGCGATCACGCGATTATCGGCTTATCCATGCGGCCGGATGGCGGCCAGAGAACTGTTTTATTTTCCGCGGGCAAACCGTTCGGACCGGGGCCGAAACTGGTGGCCGTTCGGCTCGAGTTATGTCGACGTAACACGTTCGACTCGAGAGGAGCAGACCGTGGCTAAGGCTAAAGTTAGCTCGAATGTCCCTGGACGCGAATCTCTGTCCTTAATGCAGCGTACCACGTCGCGATCGATCACTCGCTCGAGGTAATTAACGGTGCCGGATTTGGCAATCGTCGTTTACAGCGTCGTCGGCCGCGCGATCGATTACGATCGATCGATGCCGAAGGCTCTTGACGATCCGATCGTTCCTCGAGTGCCTCCTCGAAACTTGTTGACGCGTTGTTTCGATATTTCCACGAAAACGTCGCGATCAGAGAGAGAGAGAGAGAGAGACAAACCTAGATGTTTGGCAGCTCTAGTCGCACGATCGTTTCGTCAAAAGCCAAAGATTCGTTACCGCCCGTAACTTGATCCGCGTCCAAGCGAGCTCGCGTTCGAAAAATCCGTCGCGATCCCGACGCGAGAGAAAACTCTGCCGGAGAAAGTTTCCGAGAGTCAAGTTCAATCGGCGCGACGACGACGACCTTTGAGGCACGGCGTCGATCAATTAATCCAACTTCATTCACCGCATCGCCGCGTTCATTCGGATTTCGTCGACGTGGTGCTTCCACGTCGCGGTGGAAATTCCACGTGGCTTGTTTACGTGGCCGAGATGCGCGGCCGAATTTCTGGCCACGTTATTCGGACGCGATTTTATTTCGGTTACTTCATCGGTTACGAATCAACGGGTCCTCCGATACACGTTTTGCGCGCGGTACGTCTCTCTGGCGCGCGTCCAAACAGATATCGAAACGCGTCCGCGGCTTATCGAACTCTCGATGTCATCTATATTTGCCTCCGACGTGCCGCAACGCGAAAAATCCTCGTTCCTTTTGTCCGTCAAAATACAAAGTGATAGAAGTCGATGGGCGATATCGCGATGAACACTGCTGGATTGATAAGATTTCGAATCTCTCGCGCGTGACGTCACGACGACGGCATCACCATCTCGTTGCCGCGCGATTTATCGGAAAAAATTCGCGAACTGATTAATTTGCGATTAACTACGCTTCGCCGCTAACGTTGCGCGAAAACGACTTTCAGTTTAATTCGAATTTCGCGTAAATACGAAGAAGTGGACGGATCGACACTTCCCGTACCCGCGAGAAAGTAACGAAAATTTATTTGCGTTGTTACTTGCGTTACGAGTGTATCTTTATTTCCGGTGGCTAAAACCGGATTCGACGGAACGAACGAGAGAGCTTTGCCCTCTGCCTCGTTCGACACTCGTTTCGCGCGTTAAATCTATTTCGGACGAGTTGGACGAGCGAGTTGGTTTTTCGCGTAATTTCAACAGCTAATCGAGCCGAACGAGTTGTGAATGGAAAGTTCACAGCGAGGATCCGATAACCAAGGCAGAGATGTTATCGCTCTCTGTTTGACAGAGGAAAGTCTCTGCTGACGTCTCGCGAGAAGAGCCCCGCTCTCGAATGAATACTCTCGTATAGTAATAGCAACTCGTATCACTTCGTGCACACATGCCACGCGGAATAATAATTGTCTCGACGGAAATAAAACTAATTTCGTCCTCCTCTCTCCCCCGGAGTTTTCTCAGAATTGCAATTGTAAACAACATTGTGACAAACAGTCTGGCTCAGGAAAGGTTCCCTCTACCAGAGAATTAGCGACTTCGCCCCGCGATGTATAATATTTATAGTTCGAAACTAAACTTCTCTCCCCGGTCGCAAGGTTACGGTGTTCCAGTCACGAACACCGCGGACGGGCGGGTATTAATTTCTGCCCGTTATAAAACGTCATGGAACGATTCTTCGGCAAAGAATCGAGCCTTGACCTTCCGCTCTGACGGATCGTGCTGGAAACTCGCACGCGGACGAGCGAGGCGTCGCAAAAATTCAAACGAAAGGTACGACATTCCACGGAAAGGAGTGACGAAGGGTCGAGATTGGTCGACCCGATTGCCACGAACGCCGGTTCCTCTGGAGGGAAACGGAACAATGCCAATGTTATTTCGGTCGATGATCGAACGTGTGTGCCACGGTCGGAGAAAAGCGTGCCACCGGATCTCTAGCGAAGCCACCTCGCGAGCTCGACCGAATTAGAACCGCAGACTTTACCACTGTTCCCCCTGTGTTTCCCAGGACGACCTTCCCTTTGTTCTACCTTGTGCCAGGTACCACGATCACGAGTCCCCTTGCCGCCACCAATAAGCTTTCAACCTTGCGACTCTCGGATCAAAGATTTGGTACATTAGTCTTCTTTCGAATCGCGATCGATCATTTCGCGTGAAACTTGGAGAAATGCAGCCGGCTTATTATATGTCAAATGTCCGTCGCGCAGGCGCGTTTACGCGCAACAGCTCACTGCATGTACCTTTTTTCGATAATGACTCATTAACCGAGAATAGCCAACGTTCGACGCTTCGTCGATGCTGTCGCGTTTGCCTTGCGAACGGAGGTTTCTCTTCTACATTTTCTAGACATTTGTATTCTACCGTTTTTAAACCTGAGTACTGAATTAAACTTTCCGATCGATCGATCCTCAGTTCATCTCCTAGGATGAATCGGTGCGAGAAATATACTGGGAAACGTTTGCCGAGTGCAAAGACCCAGATAGAAGATCCGTACTGCACTGATTCTATGACTTTTGCTCGTTTCTCGTTTAAGTATTTTTGACGGGTGAACACGGCTTCGGTGACCCGAATTCACGCCATTCATCTTCGCGTTTCGCAACAGCGTCGCGCTATTTTCGAAATCGCTCTCGCGTACGAGACGTCTAGCTCGACCGATTGAATCTGACACACTCCAGAAAGTTTGTCCGACCAAATTCCAATCTACGAGAAGAACGACAC